CGACATTGATTTTTCATCAATTTGAAATAATTTTCTAAGATACTTTATTACCATTATAAACATTATTTTTGCCTTTACGTATTACTATTGCCATAAGGGAAAATATCATTCAAGGTTGTACTATTCGAAACGTCGACTCAAGTGCTCAAAGTTTTTACCGATATGTTCGATTAAATATCGATTTTTTCAACATATAAATTAAGCTTCAGGGAGATTCTGTGAAGTACTGAGTTTTTGCTTTTTTCGTCCTTGTGGAGACTCATAGTGATAATACTTTTATTAAAAATAAATAAACCATTTTTAGTTATACAAAGGAATTCGTTATTTGCGATAGTTTACGTATTTGGAAATAAAACTAATTCTGAAGTTTCAATTTGTAACTGTTTTAGAATTTGGGAGAGTTTTCTTGATTACACGATGATAAAAATGAAACTAGTGTTATTATTATACACAGACATAGAATAAAAATGACTAATATACACATGAAATCAACTCGCTTTCTTCTCAATATAATTTGATCGATTTCTTTGTTTGAGCATATATTCGTCAACTAAATTTCAGTTAAGTCGATGAAATCGAAATTATGTCGTATTTGTAAAGTTCGAATGAAAACAATAATGGTTCTTCATTTCAATAACTACCGAATCGAATTATACCTCACTTATTTTATAAGAACAGACCGTTTAAACTTAAATTGTCCATTTCATTCGACAAGCATTATTAAATAATAAGTAAATAAAAATCAACTTGATAGGGAAAATACATCGACTCATGAGTTCTGTTTGACGAAGATAATTTTTTGTCTTTATACTTCATCATTTAAATGTTTCGTGGCATCATCAATCATAGCAAATACACTTTTTCATCATTGAAAATAAACTGAAATGATTTACTAACGGCAAGTTTGGAAACACATTATACAAGTGTTGCATGGCAGACAGTTTCTAATGTTTGTGTACTCGCCAAACAAGGATAAGATAATGTTAACTACGTTAACCCTTTGAGGATGAAGTTTTTTTTAATAGAGAAAAAGCATTTTTCAACCATTTTGTTTTATTTTTACTCAAAGTGACTACATAAAAATCTTATGATAATCAAAAAAACAATTTTTTTCATCTTTTAAACAAAATGGCAATTTGCAAGTAAAGCACTCGATATTGAATCGAAAATTTCCTTCCTTGCTGCTACAATACGCACATTTTCTTCTTTTTCCTTTCACAGGCAAATGCATTTCATTATCAAAATTAAGAACAGTTTTTGGCGATGCTAGTTTAGACTTGTTTTCAGAAGGAAGTCTTCCACGACGTATTCGTTCATTATCAGAGCAGAGAGACTTCGCCACTGAAACCATCTAGTTCAAGTATGTTAACTTATCTTGAGCTAACTGATTATAACAAATGAATGAGTTGAAAATGGATGCATTTAGAAAATAAATAAACATTCTCAGCCAGTTCCTTTTAGACTTGTGATCGAGATTGTAGCACGATACTTTTTGACTGAATCGGTCAACTCCATGTGAATACTGATTGTAATCTTTTACTGCTCTCGGACAGGCAATCGTGGTATATTGACCATTTTGCAAACGACGGGAAATCGGAACAACTTCATTGTCTTTATGATAATTCGAAGCCAAAAAAAATGTGTTTAGTGCCCATCTATATGAAGACAATGCTGCTCGATGTAATTATTGACTAGCAATCGCCTCGTTGCATCTTACTCTTCTTAGCAAAATTCGACGGAATACCTGCCAGATCTGCTCTGATAGTTCCACAAGCTTTTATGTTCTGTAGGTTTAGGTTTTCTAATAATCTAAGGGAAGTGAAAAAGTTATCGAAATATAGATGTTTTCCTTGGAAATTATGACCAGATATAAGATCGAAAATAACACGTTCGCCCAAAGGCGTTTCTTTTCCACTGATTTCCTCTTTTCCTAAATAGATTTGATAGTTGAATAAATAACCAGTGATTGAATCACATAAACAGCAAACTTTATAACCTCTTTTTATTGGTTTCAGAGGTAAATATTGCTTGATGCTTGATCTTCCCTTGAATTTTATCATACTTTCGTCGATTGTATCGTAGCGGTCAAAGTTATAATTTTTTTGGAAATTCCTCCGCAAAATTTCAGTAAAATTCTTAACTTTGTAAATTTTACTGTAGTCTTTAGATTCTCATTTTGGTTTCAAGGAGTTATCAGCCAAATGTAAATTATAAAAAATTTCAAGAAAACGATCTCGTGACATGATTGAACTGATAAATGTATTATGGAATACCATATCTTTACTCAAATAAAGTTTTATATTCGGCAAGTCATTGATACCCATTAGGATAACCAATCCAAGAAACGATTCAATCTCTTTTTTGCTCACATCGTTCCATTTACTGGTTTTTCTCTGACTATTACTTTGTTTCTTTTCTTTTCCATAAATATTTGTTTGATCAGTGATCAGATTTAAAATTTATTCATTAAAAAAGGTTCTAAAGACTGCAATTCGAGTTGGTTCTTTGAGAGAGATTGAGGTAAAGCCACAAACCGTGACATAGCTTTCATTCATTGAATTCAGCTCCTTTGAATATACGTCCATATCTTCATCAGAAAGTTCAAGCTCATCCAAGTTATCAACTAGCTCATCATAATCGAAATCGAAGTCACTCTCGCTGGTATCATCACTGGGATATGAATCATACGACTCGTCGTCGCCTTCATCATTTCCATAGAATTCCATTTATTTAGTTTTAATGGTACAAACGGTATAAAGAAATAGAGTACGAGTTAGAAGGAAAAATTATATGCTTCTGAAGTTCAAGGACAATATAAATTCGTCAATGAGAACGAGAATATATATACGCCCAATAGTGAATGAGAATATTCTCGAAAACGAAAGATCAGAGGAGAAGAGAAAAGTATGACGTCATTGTACCTCACCAGCAAGAACAAGGAATATTTGAAAAGAATTTACACGAGACAGAGAAAGAAAGAAAAGAAAAGTATGAAATGATAAATGCAGTTGTTTATTACCTTAATGACCTCATATATTTAATAGTTTAATGTGAAATAAACACTTTTTTCTTTACTGAAAAATAGGTGGTCCAAAAATGGGCCACCCGTCCTCAAAGGGTTAACAGTTCGAAGGTCATCCGCATGCTACCACACCACTATGAAAAAGAAAAGCAAGCAAACAAAAGAGATGACAAGCATATTTTATCACAGACTATTCGATCGACACATTGTTTTTCTTTACTCGATCAAACATGCGGTGTTTTTAGAACTCGGCTAATGCCGTTCGATCCTATTAACAAAGATTGGCTAGTCGATGTACTGGTTCTTCCAGCACAGATATCACTCGTGAACACTCTTGTTAGTAACAACTGTGATTGTCTCATGGCATCCAACCTTTGCTTAGGCTTAAAAGGCGGTGGGTATGAGCGTCCGTGTGGATGTGTGTATTTGAATCTCTATGGATGTAAGGTGTGGATGTGGGTCTGAAGTGCCGGTGTGGGTGCATGAGAGCTAGAAAGAAACCCGCAACCACACTCACCCATAACCACATCCCACACCCACAACCCTTTGCATGAACATTAAAAAGTTAAAACACAAAAGACAGACACTAACACAGATCGCTTCTCAGTATTTCAGCAAAAGCCTATGTCAGTGCAATAAGTACTACAGTGACTTCAGTATCCGTAACTTGATTGTCAGTATTTTGAAATTGATATCAATACTGCTCTCCCCAATATGCACACCATCCAGAAAAGATATTTTAAAATGGAGTTTAAGAGAAACAATAATTTCTTCTATTCTGCTTTTCTTCTATGTATCAGATTTCTCTTATAAAAAGAAATGGATATTGTATGTTCCAATACCTATATTTCGGATAATGAACTAAAGCGTGGTCTATCTTGTATTAATAATAAAGCTGTCTGATTAAGCATATATGCAGAACAGAGTAGGTTATAAGATCCATGCTTTGACTAAACAGCAATCATCATACACAAGGACACCTAATTATGACATTTACAGACGCAAATTCTTATTTTTTTCTTGCGTGTCGATTCGTTCTCCTATCGATGACGTAATCAACAGTCTGAGTAAATCAATCACGAACATGCTAAAATTCAACTATTTGTTGCATAAAAGAATAATTGGAAATAACTCTAACAGTGAATTGAATAAAGAAAATCAAGCACATTGCATCAAGTCATGCAAACTCTTTTTTTCATGAAAATTGTTTTAAATCAGAAAAGCTGTTAGCGCAATCCCTTGCGGGATTAAAAATGTGAAACACGATGGCTCTACTATTACTAATTGTATGAAAATCCTTTCGTTTCACATTATTGCGTACCATTTGTAGATAACAGTTTATCTGATTCTTTACAACTACAGTTTCTCTGTCACGTCGAAAATTCCTNACTTGACGGTTTTCATTTTTTTCCATCTAGAATATACGACACCACAGTTAGAGAAACGCTACGAAACGTTTTTAGAAAAACGATCGTTTCACAGCGTTCGTATTAGCAGATGTGAAACGCGTTAAACCGGTCAGCATTAACGCGTTTTGAGAACGCGTTTTTTTCGCAGAAATTTATGCCATAGGTACTGTTGAATTAATATCTTTATATTCAATTCTTTATCTTGAAATAGTTAATACAAATACATATATTCTTATGACAAAGATAAATTTTGATCGCGAACAAAAATCTTCTTATTCATTTTCATTGAAAATTTATGATCATAGAAAACCAAGTAATTTATTAATAAATATATTTAATTGATATTTAATTGATATTAATGATTGTTTTGCATATTTTGATAAATCAACAAATTATTCATTCGTTTCAAATGTATGATAATGATTTAAATGATCGAATTATTCTTTATATTGAATTTACAAAGGAACAAGAAGAAGAAAAAGAAATTTTTCAAATAAATAAAAAAAAATCAATTAATTATTAAAAAAACTCTTGATTATGAATATAAATCATTTTATATATTAATTCTTATGGCCCAAGATTCTATAGGACATCAAACATCAATTTTAATAAATATTTATCTAAATAATTTAAACGATAATCCAGTTAAATTTCATAGAAATTTTCTTCAAATACAAATTCAACAAAATCAATCACATAGAACATTTCTTAGTTATATTCAAGCAGAAGATAAAGATAAAAATCATCAAATTTTATATTATTTACATCCAAATGATTGAAATCTTGTTCAAAATTTAATTGAATTAAAAGCAAATGGAAGTTTATATACAAAAAGAAAATTTAATCGTAAAACAAAAAAGATTTCAATTTCGAATAATTGCTAATGATTAATTTTATATAGATATTATTTTAATTGAAATTCTTATTGATAATTTTATTTTATTAAAACAACAATCTCCTTATTGTTTTAATTTAAATAATAATAGAAATTTTTATATTGAATTTCAAACATATAGAAATGTATCACTCTTTTTACTAAACCCATCATTATCGTCAGATCTTTATCTTTTTTCTAATGCAACTTTAATTGGTAAATCAAATTTAAATAAATATTCATTCGATATTTATTTAGAAGAACATAATGTTTCTATTGTTGTTATAAATATTATTCTTTTAATTCAATTAAAATGTTAAAATAATCATTTTATTCAATTTTATCAAGAAATTAGTTTTATTATCTTTATTATCATTACAAGTAGTTTTTATTTTCAACATAGACTACGTAAGAAATCATTAAAGAAGAAAACAACTATTAAACGATCATTTTCATTATGATTAAATGATATATTTCTTTTCTTACAACCATCACCACAATTGACACCAATGATAATAATATTATCTTCAACACATCAACAAACAAATAAATCTTCAACATTATCAACTTCGTCATTATCAACTTATATTAAATTAAGTCATTCATTGGAAAACGAAATCATTTAAATTTCTGTTTTTTTTTAATAAAAATAATAAATTGTATTAGATCATGTTCTATCGTCAGACAAATTCTTATGATGCTTTTAGTCACTAGATGGATTTTAATCGAGTTTGATTTTCCTACAGAAAGCTATTTGAAAATGAAGTCTTGAAAGAAAAACTGATAGGTCTAAAATAATATTGAAATTTTGATAACCCGAAGCACATGAAATGTGTGGTGAAAGTTCATTTTTTGGTGTACATGTGAATGAATAGATTCTTTTTATTCTATTTCTAGAGATTTATTCTCTCAAAATCAATTCCATAGATAACACAAAAGGTAATAAGCTTGTAATGTTTTCAATTAAGTCAAAATCAATGCGACCTGGCTTTTTCTTAAGTTTTTTCATTGCAAATTCAGAAATTTTAATGTTAATTTTTCACTTTAAAAACTTTCTTTTTATTATAGGTTTTTAAGAATTTCTCTCCAATTCTATTATTTTCTTTAGCTTAAACGAACTATTTTCGAATAATTCTATCGTAAGAACACTTTCATGTGATAAATTTGATGCCATCATTTTCACTTAATGTATTGAGCACCGGACACCTCATCCATTGAACGAGAAGCTTTGTAAATCATAGAAAATAGTCGCAAAAATTATCAAATGAATGATGTAGTTCAGACGGGATTGAATTTTGCCTTTATTTTGGTTTTTCTTATGTTAACTGAAGACGTATTCAAAACTCATTCACAGAAAAAACTTGAGTCTCATTTAGTTAGTAGCAGGCTATTTGTATTTTAACAAATGGATTTTGTTAGCAATTTTTTTGAGAACCAAATTATTGTTCCTTCAAAGTATATATTCTATCCATCACATACATCTAATTTTTGGTTGGTACTGCAGTCGTAAGTTCTTTGTCAAACAAGACGATTGAATACTTAGAAAGAACAGTGAGATAGTATTTTGCTCTACCAAATGAACTATCTTGTATTATTCTGCAACAGATATCTCTGAAGAGTGCTATAGTGTACAGTTTTGAAGTGAACTTTATTGATTTCATTACAGTTCACGCATATTATATAAATTTTTAAGTGATTGAATGTTGCTTGACAACAAATTTCAAATAACAGTACTTTTAATATTAAGTCAAAATAGTTTCTAATCTTGAATTTTGAAAAGTCACTTTGTTAGATCTCTCAAGCTGAGTTGTTATATTATAGAGTGGCATCTCTGAAAAGAAGTTACTCTAACACGACATATCGGCACTAAGAAAACTTGATCCCGACACAATTATTTCTAAGAGCAATACTGGTTTTCATGGTTTTTCAATATGCTAAATGTTAGGAGCAAAAATTCAAAATGAGGGTGAGGGTGTGGGTGAAGCTAAAAGATACATCGTTTCATTCATCACCTATATGCTCAATCATTAGGATGTTGTAAGCTGATAACATGACTTGTCAGGATACAATAAACTCTCAAAAAGAAATATAATGTGACGTGGCTTTCTAAAAACAATCAAGATTTAAGCTCATTAAGTTTTCTTCCTATTGAGTTATTAAAACTGTCTTCCCATTGAAATTGTGAGTATAGTTTCATTCGCACTTTCGTTGAGTGTTCTATTGATCAATTGCAACCTTCTAGCATAATACTTTCATCTTTCAGAAAACCTACATGATCATTTTCTAAAGATAAAATCCAGTGAATATCATGTTTGATGCTTAGTTGTTGTACATATGACACTGTTTGATCATGTAGTTCCTATGAACAGAAATGCATAATCACCTTCACAAAATAGATTAGTATAGTTGTGTACTTGTTCTTGAAGCCTGTTGATATGCAAGCATGTGCCTGAACGATTTATATCTACATAGTAACTGTTTCTTTTATATTTATTTCGACTTTAAAGCTTAGACGTAAGAAACACTTTTCAGTATCATCGTGCATACTAAACTTGAATAAGTTATAGAAAAGTATGAAAGAAGTCTTAAGGTGAAAAAATGAGGCTTAGGAGAGAAGTTCGCTGATCGTCATGCATTATAAGTGAGAGAATGAAACTATCAAGTTGGCAAGCATAAAAATCCAAGAAGAAGAAAGAAAAGGTATTGTTTTGTGTATGTAGTAGTCATATTTAGTCCAGATTTAGAACAATTTTTAGACCATGGTCTGTTGTGAAAATGTCTGAATTAACCAACCAGCATCTGTTACTGTAAATGGCCATGGAAATAGAGGAAACTTCAGGCGTTTTACAGCTTGTAGATATAACATTGTATGATTTTTGTCGCCTGTTAACCATATTGCATGAGCAACACCCGATTCTATCCATCCTGTAGCGTAAGTAGGATTTTTCGTCCAATCATTCCAGCGATTCGTCATCAGTTTGAGAACATTTTGAGTCTTTACATCATTATATGCTACGACTTCCCATAGGTGAGGCCAAAACTGAGCTTGTAAATCAGGGTACCAGATATCTGGGTTGGCATCATAGAAAGTGCCGCTTTCAAATTTGGCAACACGGTAGCGTTTCAGTGTATTATTGTAGAGTTCACGTAAAATTGCAGATTGAATTCGATCAGCAGCTTTATTATATACACCTGCTTGTGTAACATTTTGGAAAACATATTGCTCGATATAAGAAAGACTTTTTAGGCCAGCAAAGACTTCACAGTTGTCTTCCAGATACTTGACTCTGTAATCAGTTTTTGCCCAGAGTAATCCATCGGGCTGTTGCAAACTTAGAAGAAGGTTGCCGAGTTTTTCTATGTTTCCTTTATATTGAACTAGAACACTTTTTGGAAGACCAAATGTATAAGCAGACTTGAGTAGGTAGAGGAATGTGGCAGCAGCACTATCGGTAGCATCATTATAGTTACAAAATGTACTAGATCCAGGTTGAACACAAATCGTTTCTTGATTACCGTTAACATCATAGAAATGTTCGAAAGGTACACCACTTGGTGCACTCTTTTGGTTGAGATGTGAAAAATACCATACAATCCAGAGCTTTACTGTATCCATGAATGTGTTATTCGCCTGCAATAAACCTATCATACCCAGATTTGATAGATACGGACTGACACGAAAGTATCCAGTCCCTTTCTGATCATTAGTTGCTGGACTGTAATGAACTTTTACAGCACCAAGACTTTGTGGGATTGATTGGTTAGTATATTGCTGTTGTTTTAACCAGGAAGAAAGTAAGTTAATGTCAGTCGGCGAAGCTTGTGTATCATATAGACATAAAAATGTTAACAATACCAATACTTTCATAGTTGGCTCGTTAATAAATTGATGAGTTATATTCTATATAAAGAGGCGACAAGTCAATGAACGTTATTTTACAAACGGTTGATACTTATGATAACCAAAGCCTACTACTACAGGAGTACGATTTATAAATGTTTGGGTATGAGATTTTCCTGAGGCAGAAACGAAGAAAAAAAAGTTCAAAATTGATGAAATTCAACGTAAAGCAAAGAAACATTTTATTAGTCACCTTAATAATTCCTATGTATTTTTCAGCTCGTATTATAAATAGTGACAGATTAGAGAGTCAACGGAGTGTAACTACAGATGTGAAGTCTGTACGACAGCATGAACTAGTATATGATGTAGCTGTAGAGCATCACGTTCCTATATCCCTATATTCTATGACTTCACAGTCACCCATTAAAAAATATCTATTCCGAAGCGAAACGTTTGATCCTATTCTTCAGAATGGTTCAGAAAGGACACTATTCTATATGTATCCTTAACCACCTAAGAAATACTGAACCATATCACTTCTGGTACGTTAAATCTTAGACCAGTGTGAAGTGGTTGGTCTAAAAACATTTCGAAACTAATAAACACCAGAAACTTAAAAGTTTCATGGGGGTGATAAAATGAATTTAAGAGGTCAAATTTAGTTCTAAACACCAAAAATCTTGACAATTCTATTTACTCAAACGCTTATATTGGAATGTGGGCTGTTTCAAATTTACTAATGTGAGTTTCGACTAAAAGAATATGGACTAACTCATGCTTATGATTGGTCAAAAAGTTTTGAACTTATCCTGTCTAATTGTTTAGGGTTTTAGATCAATCCAATTGAAGAGTGTCAAAAACACTTTCAGATCGATGGATATTGGTAGAAGTAGTGAGTTATTTAGCTTATTAAATATTGGTTAATGGAAATAAACTCAGCAAATATTCATCTTGATTTTCTATTCAGAGTTGTTACAAATTGAGTACAGAAATATTGCATTTACGTACTTGATATCTTTTTATGCTTCTCTCGAGCAAATATGTGAGATATTTGATAGATAATACACAAAAAAATTTAGTTGTTTACTTATTAAATCATTGTCCAGCTTCAAGTTTGGAACTTTTATTACTCAACTCTAACAACCAAACTGATATTTTCCCAAAAATAGCGATCTGAATTCAAACTAGATCTTTAATAATATGATTACGCAATTATTTGAACTCAAGAGCAACAATATAAGTTATACGTTTCCACATTGTAGTATATTTCTATTAAAGAAAGAACTTGATCAATAGAAGAAAATAGAATAATATCAGCAATAATACTGATTGATTATTTTGGAAGAAAAAAGAATTAAACTTCCTCTTCAATGATGCTTATTTTAAAATGAAATACAGATACGTACTTTTTAGATAATTTTTAATTACCTGGACATTCCAAGTATCTCACATAGTTCATATAGATATTACAGTGAAAATCGGTATTGTGCAAGACAGGAATAGTGGAAATAATCAATGACCTGAAATTTCAGCTCGATGAAACTAATTGAACAACGTCTCAATAACGAAACTATATGATCGATGGAAACAAAAATCAAGAGAACGATTGTTTAACACAGACTACTCCGAAAAACGTTGTCATGTAAAATTAAAGCGAAACATGATTTCTGCAATAAAACCGAAGTTCTGTAAGTTTTTATGTCAAGAAGCTTTCGTTCCAATTTTTGTCTTGGACTGTTCCACAAAATTTGTTGATGCATCCGTTGTCTAACACTCTACTTATTTGTTGCAAGCTTCTTTTATCTTTATCTCAATTCTTATAGCTGTCTGTAATACTCTATTGAGATATCTGAGTTCTAATATATGTATAAACGCTGAACTCTTTCTCTCTATATCAAAAGGTCAATATCTAGTATGAATTGTTCACTTCAAATGGGAAGTGCTTAAACGCATCCAAAGCAGATTATTCTTATGCCAAATTAATGAGATCTAACGACTGTCTTTTTTTTATGCTAAATTTCACTCACATGTCCATCGTACGTTGTACATTGATTAATCTAAACCCATATTTCTATCCTTAAAAGCTTATTTTTACATATGAATATGTTCAACCATCCATGACACAGTAGTCTCTTACCTGACGATAAAGCTATCAATGATAAAATATAAAATATGAAAGCTGTCGTTTGATGTCATCAAGCGATTGTGATGTCTATATATATGAATAAACGAATCAATAACATTAAATGAGTCAGCTATATGATTATTCAATATGTACTCCTGTTATGAATGGTCAAAAGAGAATAATTGATTTCATAAAGAATCTCTCATCGATAAGACCTTAAGAAGGTTTAATACAATGCATATGCCTACAAGACTAAATTGACTACGCGAAGAATTCTAGAGTTCCTGTACCGTACAAAAATATCTCAAATGTATTTTATCCGAAGATGAAACCCCAGCAGTTTGAAAATGTACTTTTTTTTTGAGTACATATCGAAAATATTGATTTGTTTTTTTATGTTCGTGACTTATTACCTTATCAGTCGCTAATAACAACAAAATCAAAATAATTGAAACAGAAAGAAAAAATGGAAAAATAAGAAAAATAAAGAACACGTGTAATGAAACGAAATAAGGAAGGCAAAGAGAAACAACTATAGAAGTAGAAAGGTTGAACGAAGACAAATGATTTATATAATATTTGTGGAAATAATTTTTGATGCCTTAAAGTACATGACTCAAAACTGAACCGCATCTATCAATAAGTTTTTTCCTCTGTTATGAATCTAAATGGTTGATTTCCAAGAGAGAAAAGCAAGGCTTCATCTACTTCAAAAAAAAATTTGAAGCGCAAGTCAAGTACGAACGAAGTACGATTGAAGTACATATGAAGTACGTGTGAAGTACAAGGAAAGTACAGATGAAGTTATGATTGAAGTATGCACTCCTGAAGTCTCACTTTTCTCCCTTGGAGGATCTATATACAGGGTTAACGGATCATCCGAACTAGTCGAAAATTTCCTAGTGTTGTGCGTTTTTTCGATTGCTTTCCAATTTCCCGATTTCATCTGAATGCTTGAGATTTTTCCAAATCCTAATATTTTTAAAATTTTCTTTTCATTACTATTTTTCGATATAACTTTTGATAGATTTAATATGGCTCCATCCTCATCTTCCTGTGCTCATTGAATTATTGATTTAAGATTTATATGGGACGCAATAAAAAATAATAATGTCAAATAAATTAGCAAATAAAATAATACGTTTCAAGGAATATTGTTCATCATCTATAACCAATAATCAATAGCAATCGAGTTCTATGTCATGTTAACAACGATGATAACAATGGCTTATTAACTAATTGTGAAAGAGCAAATCATATGATGTTTATGTTCCCTACAAGTCAAGAGCAAATCAGTATAAAATGGGGTTCATTTTATGTATTGGTCATCTGATAGACAAAAACGAAATTTATTTTCTTTTAAATCAAGTAAACATTACTTTTGCTGCAGACACGCTCAATCTTCAAAGAAAAATGTTTAAATGTAACAATATAATGCAAGGTACCGTTCTGTCTGATTCAACTGGTATCATTGATCCATCCGATGTCATTCAGAAATTGGCATTTCGACCAAATTATAATCCAACACAATCAAGATCGAATACATTTATTTTTTCCAATATCCAAATGTTAAGGAATCCTCATAAGAGATCTTATTCTAGAAAATAAACGTTCTGTTATCAGCTAATTAATTTTTCGTGTATAATTTGAAGATGTTTCAAACAATTTCTAAGCTTTACATATTCTCAGGGTTTTATTCATCTCAGACTCTACATTTATATCCAATTGTTATAGATGATAAAAAAATTATTTTTTTGAAGCATTTTGGATGAAGCTGAGCGAAAAAGTTTCAATATAAATAGTCAATATACTGAAAAAGTAAATTTATGCATTATAAACGGTAAAAATAATTAATTTTCCAACCAAAATGCGTTTTAATGTCTATTTTTCCATTATTTAATTGGTTCAAATGCACTTTAACGGTCAAAATGGTGCGTCGACAAAAAAAATGCATTTTATTGACCATTTTCTCATTATTATTTTGACTGGATTCATGTGAAAACTGATTGTCATCTTTTACTGCTTCCGGAGACAATCGTGGTACGTTGACCATTTTGCAAACGACGGGAAATCGAAACAACTTCGTTATCTTTATGATAATTCGAAGCCAAAAAAACGTGTTTAGTGTCCATCCATATGAAGACAATGCTGTTCGATGTAATAATTGACTTACAATCGCTTCGTTGCATTTTATTCTTCTTAGCAAAATCCGACGGAATACCCACCCGATCTGCTCTCTAAAAAACAAAGGTGTCATACTGAACCTTTTTTCGGTACCATTTCTGAACCCTTTTTCAGTTCTAGACATGTTCGCTAGAACTGAAAAAGGTTTAGCTGGAAAGTCTAGAACCTTAAAAGGTTCAGCGTGACATCTTTTGTTTTTAGAGAGTGGTCTGATGGTTCCACAAGCTTTTATATTCTGTAACTTTAGGTTTCTAATAATCTGAGAGAAGTGGAAAAGTTATTGAAATATAGATGTTTTCCTTGGAAATTATAACCAAATATAAGATCGAAAACAACACATTCACCCAAAGGTATTTCTTTTCAACTTGTTTCTTCTTTTCCTAAATAGATTTGATAGTTGAATAAATCGCCAGTGATTGGATTACGTATACACCAGACTTTATAACCTCTTTTTATTGGTTTCAGCGTTAAATATTGCTTGATACTTGATCTTCCGTTGAACTTTATCATACTTTCGTCGATTGTACCATAGCGGCCAAAGTTATAATTTTTTTGGAAATTCCTCCAGAAAATTTCACTAAAATTCTTAACTTTGGAAATTTTACTGCAGTCGTTAGATTCTCGTTTTGGTTTCAAAGAGTTATTCCCAAAATGCAAATTGTAAAAAATTCAAGAAAACAATCTCGTGACATGATCGAACTGATAAATGTATTAT